TTTAATAATACAAAACAACGTAAGCAAATGCAACTCTATTAACATGATACCTTCATCAACTTGGGTATCGAGGTTAGGTCAGCATAACCTGTATTTGGAATGCACTAGCCTCGTAGACGATACTCGCTTTAGACTAAACGAGAGGTTACCTTATAGACGTGTCGATGTTCTAAAACAGGTCGACACATGGACAATATCTACTTGTTGTGGTGCATGTGGAGATTGTTTATGGTACACTGGTATCAAAGTCGGAACATTTACACAAATCAACAAGCCTGTGTTTTCTGGAAAACGCCATCAAGTGTTTAATCAATAGTGAGTGTGGCCACCACTGGATTCATTACACGTCAAAACACGTCGACGCATTGATGACGTATGACGACGAATGACGTTAGGCGTGGTCCGTTGCCATTCCTGAAGGAGACATTGTTCCAGTTGTTGAGCAGTGACAGGCGGCAATGGTAGTCTTTTGATTTGTGGATCCAGGTAGTCCCATAAGTGTTCTATCGGATTCATGTCGGGAGAACATGCTGGCCACGGCAAAACAACGATGCCATGCAGAAAGTCGTTTGTCAGTCATGCTGTATGGGGCCTTGCGTTATCATATTAGTAGACAATACCACGTGGTTGTTGCTGTATAAATGGCAACACGACTGGTCGCAAACGTCATCCCTGTACCTTCGAGCATTCAGGTTGCCATGAATAATCACAAGTCTCGTTTTGAGACCGCCGAAGATCCCTCCCCACACCATCACGATCCGGGTCAAAACGGTAGGACTTGCTGAACGCAATTCGGCGCTAAACGTTCACCTACTCATCTGTAAACACTGCAAAACCTACTCTCGTCGGTGAACAATACACGCCGCCAACGTCGAATGCGCCTGGCCCATATCAGTCGACGACGTCCGTTTTGAAGAGTCAGATGCACTCCGCGGTAGGGTGGACATGCACGAACACCATATCCTCATAGTCGCCGTTACACTGTATGTCGACTGATCAATAAGGTGTCCTAGAGCGGTCGCTGTCGTTGAGGTCGCCGTTACAAAACGATTTCTCAGATGAATTGTCCGGATGTGGCGACCATCACCGGGCGTTGTCAAACGTGGTCGACCCATTCTAGCCCTGTCTGACTTATTGCCTGTTTGTCTTAGTCGTTGCATCAGTCTGATGACAATAAATCGGGTGCAGCTGAAGGTTCTGGCAATGACGGTGTGGTTAGCTCATTGTTGGGACATTCCGACAGCTTTATCTCTTTCGATTTGCATCAAACGTGGCATGCTTTTTTGTGCTCTTTTTACTACTGCGTTGCTCACGTGTTGCGTAGGCTGTTTATACCGTCAGTATGCACGTGTTACAACAGAAACAAATCGTTTTGGATTTATTGCGACGTTTAAGCGTTTCGTTAAAGGTCACATGCAACCAAAAAAATCAAACATAATTAAAACACAATTATCACTTCTTCATGACATATAATATGCATTGCTGATTATGAAAAAACAAATAAACAAAATTATAAGCGTATAATCGCAAATCAAAAGTGCAATATTTTGTACTTGGGTTTACCTCCCTCGAAACAAAGCAGCCGGGATACCGAACCCAGTCAGAGCGGGTGGGTGTGCACTCAAGTGTAACGGCTGGTTCATTAGCAGATGCCGCCTTCACGGCTCATTGTGTGTGTATATATAGAGATGTTGGGTTTTGTAAATACTAGTACATGCTCATTTTTTGTGTATAACATTTTGCAATCAACAGACATCATAACATGTCATGTGTTCAAGTATCACACCTGCCTGTCTGTGTACTTACATAATGTGACAGAGACCGAACTCGGGCCATAAATCAATGCGTTTTGTTTATGGTGTATAGCCTGATTGGTGTTAAGTTCAAATTGCATGTGGTCAGTGATCGCAGTTGTGTATTGAATATTGTCATTAGCAGACAGGCAGGCAGACACACAGGTGTCAATAAAACAAGACATTGAGTTTTGTCTGTGACAGCGACATATCTATATCACAGTTAGAAATTCTGTCAACGCTAAATAATGACATTGATTTTAAGTATCGAACTGAGAAAGTGACTCGGTAAGAAGAACGTGTGGTGAAATAGACAAATGAAATTATATTAACAGTTTATTTACTGTCATAACATATAAAAAGCTCGCGCCTGTGAGATATCAACAAAACATTATGAAAATAGCTCACACCAAAGCCTTCACCGAGTATTCACCAGACAGCCCGCTTCCAAGTTGCGCGAACCTATTTCACTGCGCACGTGCTATGAGCGCAGCCCAGCTGTTGAAACCCGTATTCCCCAGAAAAGTCTGGGGAAAATTAGTGAAACGTTTGAACTCCGATTTCGCGCGTTTTTTTTCATCGCGTTATTTTTCAACTTTATAAGTTGAATTTGCATTTTTGACGCTTTGTTTCGGTAAGTCCATACCGAAAGGTATCAGAATCTGCAAAGTTGTGTTTTACGTTGCATGTGACCTTTAACGTGTTTCGCCGTGTGTTCCCAGAAAGGATGCATGGATCTGTACGTATGGGGCATGGCTCTGTATGGTTTCATCACTTCATTTTATTTTTATGTGAATTTTATGTAATATTTAGCTGTGTATAGTTTCTTTTAAGCACTAGTTTACATTGATGCCTACAGTGCAGTACTCAGGTTCAACATTCTGAAACTTAAAGGTGTAGGTAACAAATCTATTTACATCGTGTATGTGTCCTGATGGACTTACGCAACACATGGGCTGATGGACCCTCGATGTTTCGGACGACAAAAAAAACAATTTAGAGTTATGTCCCTTCAATCGATTGGCATTCGCAAAACATCGGTAATTTCCGTACATAATACGTGAATCAATGTTATTCGAGATAAAGAATTACTACTACGAAGTACCAAATGGGTTCGGCATTCCCAACGGGGTACACAGAAACTGTTACTCGCTTGTAAGCTGGGTACATTGAAAATAATAGAAAAAAGCTCAGCCAATCAGAAAACGACATTTATGTGTAAGGCAAGATAAATATACATGTGTAGTGGTAACCTACAGAAGCAGATAGTCCCCCACACATATATACATGTTATTATTATTATAGGATATTTGTATAGCGCACATATCCAGGCAACTAGTGCATGCTCAAGGGCTGGTATTTGTTCCCTCGATCATTGGATGTCATTTTACATCAGCTATCGTTTATAATAAAGCTAATTTTAATTTCAAAATGGGCATTTAACAAGTTTCCTTTGTAATACAATATCGTCGCAGACTAATTTGCATAAAGTCATGGTCTGTTCCAAATATGTCGTTTTCGACTTAGAAAAAAACTGCGTTGCTCATTTCTGCACTAATCTCTCCTTAGTAAAGACCTTTTTCTACGTTTCCTAGCTCCCTACCACTGAGACTGTAGTTAGGCAGAACTTAGTTAACAGATATTTCACATTTCACATATTAACTACATAAATTGTAGATATAAATGCGTAAAAACAGGGTTTTTTAAAAATTTCCGACAGTACTTTAGTTATGAATAAGTCAAATGTGTTGGCGTGTATAGAGCAAAGTGGAAGGAGATTATTCAAAGGTTTTAAAGTTCGGCTCCAGAAAGGAGAACTACCACCAAATTCAGTCGAGGCCAAACTTGTTGCCATGGAAACGCAAAATATATATATTATTTTGAAATCCAAAACTACCAAAAGGCATCAGTTCACCACGATACCTATCTATGTGAGAAGTTTGGTGATTGGTTTTAAATTTCTGCTCCGGACAATAGCACCAGTACCAATTTCAGTCGAAGTCAAACTTATTGCCATGGAAACGCAAAAGAAATATGTTATACAGAAATCCAAAACTACCAAACGGTACCAGAACACCACCAGACCAATCTATGTGCTGAGCTTGGTGAAGAAATATTTAACGGTTTTAAAGTTCTACTCCGGAAAATAGCACCAACACCAAATTCAGTCGAAGTCAAACTTGTTGCCATGGAAACGCAAAAAGATATTTTATTCAGAAATCTCAAACTACCAAAAGGCACACCAATTCACCACCACACCTATCTATGTGAGAAGTTTGCTGAAGAAATAGTGAACGGTTTTAAAGTTCTGCTCCGGAAAAGACGAATGGGCACGGAAGGACGCAGTCCATTTGCGGGGGATAAAACATCTTATGTCATTTGGGGTTCAGGGGACGGAGGAGGTGGTATGGTCTCCTCATGACGTAATGGTGTGTGTACACACATAATAATTAAGGAGTATTTCATTAATTCGAGGGCGGTGGGGTAGCCTAGTGGTTAAAGCGTCCGCTCGTCACGCCGAAGACCCGGGTTCAATTCCCCACATGGGTACAATGTGTGAAGCCCATTTCTGGTGTCCCCCGCCGTGATATAGCTGGAATATTGTTAAAAGCGGCGTAAAACTGAACCCACTCATTCACTCACTCTCATTAATTCGATACATCGAGGAGTCTAACACACCGTGCATGGGCACCTCCTGGATACATAGCTACATGGTCATCTAACGGTACACTTGTTTGCATTCACAGACAGACGTGCTGTTGTATTTGCTGATGGTAGACGTGTAGAAAGAGCTACACTCCTTTAGGGTCTAAGTGAGAGGTTAGAGGATTAACAGTGAACACACTTGCCAGGACCCGCTCTATGTGGCAATTTTATACAAAAGTTTTATTGTTAAAGAAATTCTCAAGCATCTATCATGACCTGTTTTCACGTTATCAAAGCATAATGACTGGCCGTAGATCAAATATTGCCCATATATTCTATTTGCCCTCTTTCCTTCTGTACACACAGGTGGGGCGCTTGTCAGTCAAATCCTATCTTTACGAGTTGTCTCCCTTGTAATGTGGTGCTAACATTAACTTGGAATCTTATTGCCAGGAATCAAGAGCATTATGCTTAGAACACAGTGTAGAATAGATCACATCCATGTAGACACATGACACACAATGCTTACGAAAACTGTAATCCTGGCACGGCCCTGTTGACTTTAAGTGTTTTGAGGGGCCCTTCCCAGTTGTGTAGGTTATAAGCGACATCTATTTATCAAACTTCCGCTGGCGTTGAGACGTGGAGGGTGGAAGAGAGACCGCGGATCATTGGGTGGGTACTTCCTAAATAGTATATGTGCTGTGTTTGGTGTGGTGAACAGTCTATCAAACGACTGACACTGGCTTTGTTGCAGAAGTTAGTGATTCGACTTTGGCACGAAAGTATAGCGAGCACAATTCGGTTTTTCGTTATTGTGACAGAGATCGGGTTATCTCCGATGTATTGACGGTGCCGAAATTGCCTCGTTCAGGGTCTCGTGTTTGGCATCACAATGCAGAACTACACAATATTAACTTTGATTTAGTGTGTGTGCAGGTGAGATCGCGGGTTATAGGGGTGTTCAGTATAGCAGGTATTTCTGTTTGTGTTTTTTGAAGGAGTATATTTATCCTTTTATATGTATATTATGTGTTTTTGACGCTTAGAAACATTCGATGTCTTCTCTTTAATCATGTAAACAAGTGTAATACATCTCATTACTTTTAGAAGACAACAACAGTATCCGTATCAGTAAACCTCATTATAGTGTGAATTGTTTTTTGTTTTGTTTTAGTATAAGAATATGTGTTGTTTTCTCGATAATATCTGAGCAATGTCTCAGTTGTTAATGACCTCATTATCTTTAACACAAGCCATCATGTGGGTGTTTACAATGTCTGTGTGGCTCTAATTGCCTCGTCATAGAAAGAGTAAACGGGATAGTAGTTATCCTTTGTAAGTGCCCTTGTGTAGTGCCACACCCCTCTCAACTATGTAAATATCATAACCTGTGTTAATGCTTGTCTTTACCCAATACACCCTGTAGACAGATACTGTGGATGCAGTGTCATTATGTCCTCTCTAGACTGAACACAGTCATATCCAGTTTAGCAAACTTACCAGAGCATGTCTGTTTGTATGTGTTACTGCTGCCTGCTTGCTGTCACAGTGTCCAGTGACACTGACAGATACTGATACTTCTAAGTACATGGCTTGAGGTATGCTGTAGGATCTACCAAGGGAAGCAGTCTCAATAAACCCAGATCTTTGTCTTCGATCTGATGAACTTCTGATGGAAGTCGTGTGAAGAACAAATTTAAGTGAACAATGTGTTGTTCTTGCGCCAGTGAATCTGAGTGATATGATATCTTCAAACACAATTGGGTTCATATCAATCTCAACAAATCTAAATCCCAGCACTGTAGATAGGCTCTACATTACAATAAATAGGTAGACTGTGATGGCTATAATAAAACCAAGTGAGTAATTCGTGAGTTTCATTGGGTTAAAAGCAAAGAGTATGAAACCGTCATCTTGTCTGGATGCTTTGCTCACTTATACTGAGAGCTTTGAAGCCTCGTTGCTGATTTGGTTACTGTAAACGTACTTATTTTCGCGTGGTGCTATTTTCGCGGAATTGACAGTTTAGACTACATCGCGCGGTCAATTATTCGCACAATCAGTAATTGCCGGAACTGCCAGCTGTCTCTTTGGCCGCCACTAATAGCAGTGAAAACAAACAGAGTGGCTTAACCTGTTAGGCGGCGTTTATTGCTTACTCACAGGAAATCCCTATCTGTGCGATATACTAGTACACAGTAACCCGTTTACTCCCGGAAGAGATGAAAAACACATCAGTCTTATGTTCCGAATTCTGACGATCTGACGAATTAACTTATACTGTATATGAAGCTTTTTGTGATTTCAAACAAGCCGGGTTGTTGTGAATGAGATGATTGAGTGTTAGTGACTATTCGCTTCATGATGATACGTTTGTATCTAAATGAATAAATACTGCTGTATTATTTCTTTCCGAGTCGTTTCATGGTAATCTGTTTTGTATCAAACCATCTGTCATGTGACCAATTTCCATGGCGGCCACAACACACATTGCTGTTTTCGCTAATTCGGCGATGGGATTTGGCTCATTATTTAATTATTTTTTTGGAAATCCATTACAGCGACAGTTAAGTATGATTGTTTATGCTACTATCAGTCGTCATTTTAAGATTCCCGTAGATTTCTGTCTTCAAACTTGATGTGTTATGGTTTATTCGCGGTGTATAAATTTTCGCGATAAAATGTTTTGGCCGAAAAGCGCGAAAATAAAACCTGCGCGAAATATACTACGTTTACAGTATTTGAAAAATCACCTTCAGGGATTTACCTTGAGTCCTGTATTTCAGGGTCCCTGGGACTCTTTCTCTTAATTTTCAGGGGTCCTGGACTACAATATGGGGATCCAAGACACTAAAATATTATTATTAATACTATGTTGTAATATTGTTGTAATTCAGTTACTGCTATTGTACTGTGTATCGTGATCATCACATTGTTACTGACAGTAATTAATTTGCAAATGACATCATAACCCAGCTAATAGCAGACTCAGTGATAACTTATTGTTACTCAATCGAAATTTTTTGCATCCCTATGGACGGGCCTATAAATTTCGCTGCATCCGTCAATTTTTATGCATATAGGATGCAGGAATTTGCATCCCGTAAATCCCTGCACCCTAAATTAACTTAAGGACTTTTTCTCCAAGCAGGATGGTATCTTATCAGAGTAAAAGATTTGATTGCTATGAGATTGCCTAATCAAGATAGTGGCCGCCATATAGCTGGAATATTGCTGAGTGTGGCGTAAAACTACTCACTATCAAGATAGTGAAGATATGACAGATACAAAGCTGTTCCATTCTTCCCTAACCATCACAAACCCTGAGGATACTAATGAGGTCCCTTGAGCTACACATGCTGGGGGCTAAGAATGGTGGAGCAAGCTGTGATGAAGTGAACCCAATAAAGATTTAATCATGGTGATAGACATTACAAGCAAAATCAGTGAAGTGTGACCACCGCTACAGACATTCTGAATTTTATTAACTGAATTTCAACTTGTCTTAGGTACTAAGATTGAGAATTTTTGTTTCTCTCACACATTTCTTACGTAATTGTGCAGAAGCCAGTCAAGAATGATGTTAGCTAAGTTTTCAAACACATTACACAGTACTGGAAGTTGAACCTAGTACCAGATGTATATCAATACCACCAACCTACAGGATCATAGTCATTTTAATCGGGTTAACTGCATCTCTAAATGTGTAAACAACTGAGGCAGCAGGCTTGGGCAGATTGGAGTTCTTAGATTTGGCCGAAAGTTTGACTACAGCAGAACCTGGTTCTGAACAGGTCCATACTTGTTGATGATGTTGGGGATTTGTTGGTGAAGCTCAGTGACTTGACTGTGTGTGTAGTGGTGGGTGTTGATGGTGAAGCTCAGTGACTTGGCTGTGTGTGTAGTGGTGGGTGTTAATGGTGAAGCTCAGTGACTTGGCTGTGTGTGTAGTGGTGGGTGTTGATGGTGAAGCTCAGTGACTTGGCTGTGTGTGTAGTGGTGGGTGTTAATGGTGAATCTCAGTGACTTGGCTGTGTGTGTAGTGGTGGGTGTTGATGGTGAAGCTCAGTGACTTGGCTGTGTGTGTAGTGGTGGGTGTTGATGGTGAAGCTCAGTGACTTGGCTGTGTGTGTAGTGGTGGGTGTTGATGGTGAATCTCAGTGACTTGGCTGTGTGTGTAGTGGTGGGTGTTGATGGTGAAGCTCAGTGACTTGGCTGTGTGTGTAGTGGTGGGTGTTGATGGTGAAGCTCAGTTGGCTGTGTGTGTAGTGGTGGGTGCTGATGGTGAAGCCCAGTGACTTGGCTGGTGAAGTGGTGGCTCTGTGACTTGGCTGTGTGTGGTGGTGGGTGTTGATGGTGAAGCTCAGTGACTTGGCTGTGTGTGTGTAGTGGTGGGTGTTGATGGTGAAGCTCAGTGACTTGGCTGTGTGTGTAGTGGTGGGTGTTGATGGTGAAGCTCAGTGACTTGGCTGTGTGTGTAGTGGTGGGTGTTGATGGTGAAGCTCAGTGACTTGGCTGTGTGTGTAGTGGTGGTGCTGATGGTGAAGCCCAGTGACCTGGCTGGCGTGCAGTGGTGGGTGTTGATGGTGAAGCCCAGTGACTTGGCTGTGTGTGTAGTGGTGGGTGTGATGGTGAAGCTCAGTGACTTGGCTGTGTGTGTGTGGTGGGTGTTGATGGTGAAGCTCAGTGACTTGGCTGTGTGTGTAGTGGTGGGTGTTGATGGTGAAGCTCAGTGACTTGGCTGTGTGTGTAGTGGTGGGTGTTGATGGTGAAGCTCAGTGACTTGGCTGTGTGTGTAGTGGTGGGTGTTGATGGTGAAGCTCAGTGACTTGGCTGTGTGTGTAGTGGTGGGTGTTGATGGTGAAGCTCAGTGACTTGGCTTGGCTGTGTGTGTAGTGGTGGGTGTTGATGGTGAAGCTCAGTGACTTGGCTGTGTGTGTAGTGGTGGGTGTTGATGGTGAAGCTCAGTGACTTGGCTGTGTGTGTGTAGTGGTGGGTGTTGATGGTGAAGCTCAGTGACTTGGCTGTGTGTGTAGTGGTGGGTGTTGATGGTGAAGCTCAGTGACTTGGCTGTGTGTGTAGTGGTGGGTGTTGATGGTGAAGCTCAGTGACTTGGCTGTGTGTGTAGTGGTGGGTGTGGTGTTGAAGCCCAGCGACTTGGCTGTAGTGTGTGGTAGTGATTGGGTGAAGCTCAGTGACTTGGCTGTGTGTGTAGTGGTGGGTGTTGATGGTGAAGCTCAGTGACTTGGCTGTGTGTGTGTAGTGGTGGTGTGTGGTGGGTGTTGATGGTGAAGCTCAGTGACTTGGCTGTGTGTGTAGTGGTGGGTGTTGATGGTGAAGCTCAGTGACTTGGCTGTGTGTGTAGTGGTGGGTGTTGATGGTGAAGCTCAGTGACTTGGCTGTGTGTGTAGTGGTGGGTGTTGATGGTGAAGCTCAGTGACTCAGCTACCCCCGGTCCCCACCAACATATACTAAGCAGCAAAAGAAACGTTAGTTTTGGAATTTTTAGTCGCAGAAACGGATAACTGTAAACTCATTTAATGTTTTGATTGTATATTTTTGACAACATCTCCATCTTTATCTAAGCAAAGACATTCCTTCCCAAACTCAGAATGGAACCCAGGAAATGGTATCAAAAATGCAACCTGATCTCGGAGATCGTATGGTGTTCT